GCTGTCATGCCTGCAGAGCCATTTTCTTCACTGCCTCTGATCTTGGGAACCACTGTGTCTGATGTCTGCACATGTCACTGGATGCCAGTGTTGATGAAGTTCCCATAATTGTGTCATGGCAGCCTTCCTTCTTCTTGGGACTCCTTTGCAGGGGGCAGCCTGGAGACCTTAACCCATACCTGCAGTCTAGTTTGTTTATAGTTAGGTTCATTGTTCTGGGTCCTCTCCCCCATCTTGGTTGATTTTTTAAAATAATATTCACTCTTTGTGTATATAATTCTATGATTTTGGACAAATGCGTAGAATCATGACTTTACCACCAGAACCATGATACAGAACAGTTCTGTTACCCAGAAATTCTTGTGCTGCCCCTTTGTAGTCAGCTACTCCCCTCCCTGCCAAGCCCTGGCAACCACCGATTTGTTTTCTGTTCTGACAATTTTGCCTTTTCAGGGTGTTACATAAATGGCATCATATAGTATATAGCCGTTTGGGTCAGGCTTCTTTCACTTAGCAATATGCATTTAATATTTATCCATGTTGTAGGAATCAATAGTGTGCTCCTTTTTATTGCTAAATAGTATTTTATTGTATGGATATGTACCGCAGTTTTTTTTTTTTAATCCTTTCATCAGATGAAGTTCTCATTTTTTGGGCAATTATGAATAAAACCTCTATACATACTTACATACAGGTTTTTGTGTGAATATGTTTTCATTCTTCTTGGGTGGATATGTAGGGATGGGCTTGCCAGGTCACTTGGTAAGTGTATGTTTAACTTTATAAGGAATTGCCAAACTGTTTTCTAAAGTAGCTGCACCAAGTTGCATTCTACCAGCAGCTTATGAAAGTTCTAGCTGCCCTTCACCCTTGTCAGTACTTGGCATTGTCAACTTTTTGAAATATTAGCCATTCTGATAGGAGTGCCAGCTAGTTTTTAATCTGCAGTTTTCTTTGTATACTCTCAGATGCTGATGGAGTTTAAATATCATTATTTGATGTTATTTGGCAAGGCCGTCATTCATACCTATGTAAGATTTTATTTCTGAAGATGGAATTTATAGTTGCTCAGAGCAAAAGAGCAGCAGTATTATCACACCTTCCTAAACAGTTTTGAGGAAAATGTTATGCTGCATTATTCTTTAATTTTAGAATTTAAAAAGACTTCTTATTAATTGTGTTCAATTCTTCATGTCACAATTGCTGTTTGCTTGACCAACTCATCATGAGCAAAAGCTACTAATCTTGTAGCTGAAGTTTCCTTGATCTGTTCATCTTAACTCTCATATGGCAAGCTGAACAGTCTGTACTCATGAGACATAATATTTTTTAAGCTCTTCATATTATTGGTGGCCATAACATGTTTTTCCCCTCCCTCTTTCTAGGCTCCCAATCGTCAACTCATGACTTACTGGTTACAGGAGCTTCAGCAGAAGAGATGGGAATATTGTAACAGTCTCGACATGGTCAAGTGGGACAGCAGGACCTCTCCAACTCCCGGGGATTTTCCTAAGGGTCTTGTAGCCAGAGATAACACCGGTAAGGCAGAAATAAAGGGGAGCTGGGTCAGTTATTTGTGTGAGCCATTCGATACCACACATGAACTTAGCAGTGAATGAAAATGATTTTAGAAAGAAATAATAGTGATGCTACCTTATGAGTGGACAGCATTCCACAGTTACCCAGCGCCTCTATGTACGAAGCTTATGCAAACCCAGTGATGGCCTTGGAATCAGGCAAGGCCAGTGCCAAGCATATGGAAGAGATGATACGACTAAGGTCAGCATGTAGTAAGTTGTGGTGCTGTAAGTCTAGTTCTGACTGCAGGGCCAGCCTTTCTACCACACCTAATGATGGAGCACTTCATGCCTAAATAGTCATGCTTGGGCAGACTTGCCAAGGTTAACAGGTGTTTGTATACGCTAGGAAGGTATTCTCAAAACATTCCACTTAAAATTCTCTAGTGTTTCTTAGGAAGACTTTAACCTTCAAACATTGATTTAATTCTGTCCTGGATTCATGGCATTTCTATAACTCAGGGTAATCCCTGGCCATTTGCAACATAGAGATAACCTCTAGAAAGAACAGGACAACAATTATTTGCTGCCCATCCTACCCCCCCCCTGCAAAGACTGTGGAGATGGGACTATTTTTGGCCCCCGCTCTCCATACAGGGCAAAGAACACATCCAGAAAAAACAAACAAACAAACAAACAAACAAAAAAGCCTCCTAAGCTCAGAAGTAAGGTCTAAAAAGCCCAGGCCATTGTACTAGTATTTTTGGAAGACACATGGAGCATACATTAAAAGAAGTAGACAACAGTAAGGACTAGTTCTAACAGTTTCATAAAGAGATGTTGTCTGCACTTAATAAAACCCGTGGGACCCTTTGCTCAGCAGAACACAGGGCTGCATCCGAGTTGCCTGTCCCACCAAGGATGGTGTTGGCACATGTGTGGCTGATTTACTCCAGAAACAAATGCGTTCTTAGACAAATTTTTCATCTCCAAATTTGCCAGTCTTGTTTTTACTTGTCCCAGTATTTTTCAGTAGGTTAATCCCTCTTATCAGTGAGAAATTACTATATATGCTTTGTACTTGTTGATATATTTTCTGTGAGAGTTTTCGAGTCACTTTCACGACTGTCTTAGCACTTTGTCTATTCCAAGTTCTGAGGTCATGCCTTTATTTTCAGCTTTTTGCCCCCTTATGTTTAGTTCAGGGTCAAGTCACTGGTAACTGAGTTCTTTTGAAAGCCACTCTTCTAGTGCTTTTCATCAAAAGGAGCTCCTAACTGAGTGTCTGAGTCACTTGGAACATTTGGAAATCCTGTGGGAACAGGCGGTGTTCATGAGCATAGCCACTGCCTTTGGCACAGGAGGTACTTGATTTGCCTCAGTTCCTTTGTTCTGAGGACACCAACTGCTTCTTTCTAGCAAAGACTCAGGGATATTCAACCAAAAGGAGGACAAAGAAGTAATGCTTATCCCTATAGTCTCTTTATAACAGCTGTCCTTCCTCCTTCTAAGCCAAAATGCTGTGATTGGAGAGCCAGAGAAAACATCTGAAGCCCATATTTGTTTCTCCTCCTTTGATTTGGGGACTCCAGGTATCGAATTTAGCATTTGAGTAAATGCCATCTGACATTTACTCATTCATTCAGCAAAGTTGGCACTCAAGATGAGCTTTGCCCCTCTCCTCACAGAATTTCTAGTCAAGCAGGGTGGTTGTGCAGAGAAAAAATGAGAGAAATGTGAGGGAAGGGTGCATGCTGGTACCATGGGCTGTAAGTGGGCTGTGCATAGCTTCTGGCAGTTAGGGCCTCTCTGAGGAAGTGCATCTAAGCCAAGGCCTGAAGGATGGCTAGGAATTAGCTAGGTAGAGAAGCGGGGAGGCAGATGACAGGGCTGGACTGCGGTGCCTTCCCAGAGCTGCAGTCAGGATGGCTACCGGCTGGAAGCAGTTGTGGGGTGCGAGTTGAACCTGGGGGCACACCCGGGACCCAGAGCCAGAGCTGGGGGAGAGCCTAGACTGCTGGCCTTGGGATTTTGGACTTTATCCTAAGAGCAGTGGAGTGCCTTTGAAGATTTTTATAGATAGAAATGACTGTAACTTTAGACTTCTATTAATTTTTAGATAGCTTCTAAGAACAAGGAATGAAACTTTGGGCCCCAGAGCAGTATGTGAGACTATAATAGCTCAGGAAGTCAAAAAATCTAAAGCAGGAAGTCAAGAAGAAAAGCTTATATTTTAGCCCCTTTTGTTTCATCATCAGAGATCAAATCCGGTTCAAAGATAAATTGTGTTGTGTTATATGGCAGTGCTCTGTGAAGTTTCTAAAGCCATGCTTGTAGTTTTCTGCTCAGCTTAGCCTACTCTAGCAAGAATTAAAGAAGAGTGTTTTTATAACTGATTTGCATTAAAAATAAAATTTTTCCTAGTATTGTCTCATGGTCACCCAGTTGTTTGGAACATTTTGGTTTGTAGTCTAATGGGCTTCACCCATCAGGACCCTCCTAGCACCTAAAGTTAATATGGGGAAAAATATAGGGGATTAACATTTTCCACTGATAGCTAGTTATATATCTTAGAAGGCAGCTCTACCTGGTGGAAGAAGCCCTGTGGGCCTGTGAGTCTTGGGGATATTTACTAGTTGTCAGACTCTAAGTAAGTCACTTATCTTGTAGTACAGGGGTAGGAAACTGTGGCTCTGGGAATTGAAGTTTGTTCACCCTCCGTTGTAGTTGTTATAAGGATCAAATGGGAAGCTGCATTGTTAAGTGTAAAGAGCCCTATGTATGTGTATATACACATATATTATATATTGTATAGATATGTATGAGATGATATCATTTTGAAAGGGTTAGCATTATGTTCAGCTGTAATTAGTAGGAAACCTTCCTAATAAGGACTTACACATAGGGAGTAATTTGTCTCACATGATAAGCAGTTTATGGCTGGCATAGCTACTCACTAGTGCCGCTGAGGGGCCCAAGCTGTCTCGGACTCTGTTTTCCATTGCTAGAGTGTATTAGCTTTCCTGCTCATGCTAGCTGCCCCTGGGGGTGGCACTTACATCAAAAAGGAGAATGCTTTCCCAGAAACCTGTGGCTTATGCATCGTTAGCTGGAACTGTCACATGGCCATTCCTAGCTGGAAGGAGGCTGGGAAGCCAAGTATTTTAGCTGAGCATATGGCCACGATCAAAACCAAGGTTTATAAGTAAGGAAAAGCTGGATTGAATATTCATTAAGGAGCCAGCACTGTCACATAGTTGCTTACATTAACTTTTTTTCTAGAATCTGTGTTGAGTAAGAGACTTTCCTGTGTGTGATTGGAACTTGCAGCTTTATTATTAGTCAATATCTGTTCTGTGTGCCTTCTATTTTGTAGCCTGTCCTCTGAAGGCATGCCATGCCTCAAATACCATTCCACATTGTCTTCTGTGTTTGGATAGAGAAAGACCTAGTTTCAACACAAAAGAATAATTTGCATAAAGATACAATCAGGGGTCCACAAACCTTTATAGCTGTTGAGAATGAGGTAACTAGAACCCAAAGGAGGTGCCCATAAATGACCAATAGCCTCATTACAGGATGTATGTCTAGCACATTCTGTTTACTTCATTCCCCACATAAACTAATAAGAAAACAAGCCAGGGGTAACAAGATCCTGCTTTTTTAAAAAAACTTCTTGAAAGTTCATGAGTACTAAAGCATTCATGGTCATAGCAGTCTCAAATGCCCAAGTGCCTGTTTGAATATGGATGGTATTTCTTGCAGAACATTGTATTGTGAAGACAGTTTGAAGGATGACCACACATTTCCTCCCCTGAAGCAGCTGCATCGGGTAGTTGAACTGTTACACTCTTAACAGCTTGTGTGCAAGGGGATGGCGTGGGAGGAGTAGCTGTAACTTTCAGTCCTCAGGCAGCTTGAGCAGTGCTCTCGGTGCGGGGTGCAGGGTGTAGAGGGCTGCCAGAAAGAAAGCCATTAGGTGGAATGCAGGCCCCGCGTTGGCAGTGCCACAGGAATTACACATCAACCTTTAATGTCATGATTCCATACAGAGATCAAGGAAGCTGTGCTTTCGTGTAATCCTTGTAAAATGCAAAATGCCATCCGTTCTTGTGAAGTATCGGTAGTTACCAGCATTGTATCTGAGAGACAGCATGGAGAGAGCTTATGGGACCTTGAGTACATCATGATTTCCCCATCTGTGAAGCAAGATGCTCTCTGAACCAGGTTCCTTCTGGTTTGAAGGTTCTGTGAAAGTCAGGTTGTGAAAGAATGTGACTGTGGGAGGGAGGATGTCAGGGAGATGCCGAGTGGGGTTTGATTGCAGTTCTGTCTGGGAGGAACCTGCTGGATAGGGTCGAAAAGGAGACTATCTGGAACAAGCTTGGAGTTTGGTGTCAGCAGGGACATCCTCAGCCTAGATTTGGTGGGACTTAATGCAGGTGAATACAGGGGTTGATGTGGCTGTGAATGGGGGCAGGGGCGGTGGCTGAGTCAGGTTGCAGGAGAACAGGGAGGAATGGGAAAGGAAAAGAGGGAAACCCCCACCCCAATTCAGGGAATCTGTCAGAGGCAAGGTGGCAGGAGAGAGGAAAGTCAGGAAGGATGATGAGTATAAATCCATTCAAGAACTGCAGGAGCCTTTGCTGCCTTCTGCCCGATTGTTTAAACCCACAGAAGGCCTTTTCTCCCATGCCATGTTAGCAAGTTCCTGTCGCTTACGGATTAATTTGGTCATTTAACCAATATTTATTCAGTCACTCCTCTATGCTAGGTGTTGGATATGCAGCTGTTAGCAAATCAGATAGAGGTTCACTTCTCACAGAGTTGTGTCCTTGATGGGGGTAGGGGACAGGCAGATGAATAATTAGCCAGACATATGGACTGGCCTATGCTGGGGCCTGTCAGGACCCGGTGGTTTGCCGCCTCTTTTTTTTGGTGCTTAGATGCATGCTGTGTTCTCACTTGGAAGATATTTCTGTTCCTCTTGACTGGTCCTTCACAATCTGTATTAAAACTCACATTGGTAAATAAAAAAAAATTTCAGATTAAGCCCACCCTGTCTTCCTCCACCTCCCAATGTTGACACCCACACTTTCGTTTGCTGTGTCCTTAATGAAAAGTTCTGCTCTTCATTAAGATGCATATGGGCACAACCCTTTCCCAATGTTCTTTTCTCCTTTCTTGGATGCAGCTACAGGCCTGGGTTGAGTTTTATGAGAATTCTCCCACTGTACGCAGTTCTGTGCTCTGTAGAAGTTGCTGGCGGAGCACCTAGGCCTGACTGACACAGCAGGAGAGGAGAGGGAATACTCACTGAGGCAGTCCAGATGTAGGCAGGAGCCGCTCCTGTGCAGGGAGTCCCATTAGGAGGAGACTTTGAGCATCATGTGGTAGAATGCAGCAAATGGGAACGGCTGTTGGAGACCAGGGAGGCTGGAGACCAGGGAGGAGAAGCCAGCAGCTCCGGGGAGGCTGAGACTGCCCGGGGTCACACTGGATTTAGAGGCGATGCTAGAATCAGAACCTAGGAAATGGGAACAATGCAGTCGGAAACTCCCTCAGAGTTTTCATTTAGGCATTTGAAAATGTTTAAAAAGGACAGAGGTCTAAACACCAAAAACCATCAGGCACAGACTTTCTTTCCCCACTGAAGCTGTAAGACAAAAGACATGCTCATGAACACCAGTCCAGCCTCTTAAAATCTTCAAGGAAATGTTGCCATGTCCTAGTTTGTGTTTTCCCTTAACGTCCTCCTTGAGGCGGTTCCCTGCATGCTAATGCTAGGACATGTATTGAGGAGAAGCCAGCAGCTCTGCTTTCATTAAGTACATCTCACATGGTCTCTTAAAAACCAAAAACCAGACAAAAATAACAGTTACAGCAAAAATGTATTAAGCTGGAAAAGAGCTTCTTTTTCAAGTCAGATAATTACTTTTAGAAATTGTCCTCCAACATGTTCCTCCCTGGTCTCTGGTCCCTTTTCTCCACCCCTCCCTGGGGCCTCTGAGTTCCTCAGGAAGTATTTCCAGTATGGGCTGTGGGTTGCTGCAAGGCCTGGGGTTTTCTTGGTAACAGGCACTTTGCCACATGAGCATTTGACAGTCCAGTCTCGCAGAGGCCGTTCATCACCTTGCTACTAACCCACACAGGAAGAAGAGGCCAGACTCAGCCTGTAGTAGAAATCCGTACAGTTTGTTGTGTTTATTTCCTGATTTGGCTTAGAATTGTGATGATGGTTGTAAGACCAGCCCTTGAAGTAAAGGAGTTTGTGCTGCGCCCGTACTCCATGTACCTGTAAACTGACACACGCGCTCACCAACATTGAGCACCCCCCGCCCCCCACTCCAGGTACTGTGCCCTCCTCTGGTAGGTACACTCATCTCTACCTGCCTTGCGATGTTTGTATACTGCAGGGGCAGGTGTCCGGGTTCTGGCCCTGGCTCTGGACGCTAGTGTCCTGATGGAGAAAGTAGGTAAGGAGACTGGACTGGATTAGTGGGGTTTGAACTTTTTTTTTCTTTTGTTTGCTGGAACCTCTTTTCCAAATGAAATCTTAAAGGGAACCCCAGTATATAAAAGGTGAAGAGAGGAACTGCTGAGGATGAAACTGAGCATGGGGCCCCCATCCTCTTCTCCCTCTAGAAGTCCCCCAGGCATCTCCTGGAACCCTAAGACTCAGAGGAAGGGTCTGGATCCCAAGGACTCAATGTTTATTTATTCTGTGGTGACTTGGAGCTTGACATGTTACTGTGTTACTTATGTCTGTCTCCTGGACGTGTTCTCCTTTATGGGGAAAGCTCTGTCTCATCGGTTGTTGTGCCCTCGGTGCCTAGTGCTTAATACATGATAGTAAAACCAAGAACTGGCAATCTGTGGTTATTTGTAACTTCTTGCCTCTTGACTCAAGAGGCTGCAGTGAGCCGTGATCACACCACTGCACTCCAGGCCTCAGTGACAGAGTGAGAGCCAGTCTCAAAAAAAAAAAAAAAAAAAAAAAAGTGTATACTCTGTTACCAAGCCTGTAATTCTTCTGTTCCCAGCACACCATCTTGCTTTTCCTAGTCAGAACCCTACTGTAAGCCATGCATTGACTCTTCTGGCCAGAGCCAAATTACCCTAATAGATACACAGCAGTTGTTTACTCATGCCACGCCCAAGATACTTTCCCAGTGTGGTTTTGAAGCCCTTCCCACACTGACTGGTCAAGTCAGAACCTGCCTACACAGTGCAGGCTCATCATGCGACACTCAGTACATTGCTCTCCAAGCCGGAGCAGCCCAGGAATGCCTGCTGTCTGTTTCCTGTACCAGTGCTCAGTGACCTTTACCAGAGACCTGTTCTTGCTGGCTCTGGTTGTGTGCTCCTCTGATTAGAAACACATTTTTCTTGGCTGGGTACAGTGGCTTACGCCTGTAATCCCAGCACTTTGGAACGCCAAGGTGGAAGAATTGCTTGAACCTAGGCATTCAAGACTAGCCTGGGCAACATGGCAGACCCTGTCTCTACAAGAAAACAAAACAAAACAAACAAAAAACCCCAAAAATGAGCTGGGCATGGTGCGTGCCTGTAGTCCCAGCTACTTGGGAGGCTGAGGCAAGAGGATCTCATGAGCCTGGGAGGTTGAGGCTGCAGTGAGTCGTGTTCACTGAGGTCCTATCTCAAAAGAAAGAGAAAAGAATTTTTCTTGAATATCAGTGGTCAGCAGTCAATTCTGATTTCACAGAAAGAGATGGTTGATTTGGTTGATACAGAGATACTTTAAAAAGAAGTGTAGATCAAATTGATTATTTTAAAGTAATATTGAATTCTGTTTACAAGCATGTCCTATTCTCAGAGAGATTATGCCATTTGGCATGGGAGAATTCTACCACTGAAACACCAGTGCAGATTATGTCATTTGGAAGAATACAAAGTATTTGTAGTTAGAAATGTTTTTATCAGCACAGTGGCTCATGTCTATATCCCAGCACTTTGGGAGGCGGAGGCGGGTAGATCACCTGAGCTCAGGAGTTCGCAACCAGCCTGGCCAACATGATGAAACCTCGTCTCTACTGAAAATACAAAAATTAGCCGGGCGTGGTGCCGGGTGCCTGTAATCCCAGCTACTTGGGAGGCTGAGGCAGGAGAATCACTTGAACTTGTGAGGAGGAGGTTGCAGTGAGCCAAGACTGCGCCATTGGATTCCATCCTGGGCAATAAGAGCGAAACACTCCATCCTGGGCAACAAGAGCCAAACTCTGTCTTGGGAGAAGAAAAAAAAAAAAAAAGAAAAGTTTTTATCAAAAAAAATTTTTTTAAGTAACTTTTTATTATGGGAAATTTTAAACATATACAAAAAATAACATAATATTACCTCCAGGTTTATTAGGTAGTTGCAGCAATAATTACCCCTCTTGTTTCATTGATATCCTGCTTTGTTATTTTGAAGCAAATAAAATGTTACCTGAAGCAAATATTACTATGTATTTGTTAAGTAACAAAATACTGCTATTTACCATCATATTTACCATATGATGGTAAATCCTGACCATCATATGATTTCCACCTTAACTATTTCAAAAGTTTACATTTTAAAGATGTGAAGTTTCATCATGCCTTAGCATCAGTGTGTTTGCTTGTGAATTTAGTGAACTGCTATTCTGTGATGTGCAAACTTTATTTTTTCAGTATCATTCTTTACAAGTATTAGCAAACATTTATATTTGTATTTCTCCCACTTTCTTAGAGAAAAGATACCCTTGTATAATCTGACCTGCACTTTGCTTTTCTTATATAACAGTTTATCCTGGAAATTGTTTCTTATCAGTACAGGTGATTGGACTTTGATGACGGGTTTATGGTGAGGGTTATTGATCTGCAGTACTGGAGGAAAATTCTAGCCTTTGGTTTCTCTGGGCCAACACTGTTAATACTTGGTGGTTTGAGGTATGTCACAACCTTCCTTTGAGAAACATGGAGCTATTTAGATGAAAATGGTTTCAGAACACCAGAGTTACCCACAGATTATGTTTTTTATATAGTATACATTAAAAATATACTATTACATAGTTTAGATTTTTATATAGTATATCAAGTCAGTGTTTTATGTGGGATATCAAGTTTTATGTGGAAGCTTTGAGTAACTGACATTTGTTTACCTTTTTCTTTTCAGATTTAATTTACCCACACCCAAATGCTTCTGCAGAAAAAGCCAGAAATGTCCTAGCTGTGGAGACTGTGCCTGGAGAGCTGGTGGGAGAACAAGCTGCAAATCAGCCCGCCCCAGGGCATCCAAATTCCATTAATTTTTACTCTTTGAAACAGTGGGGCAATGAGCTCAAGTGAGTCTTTGGAAAGCAGCATATGACATTGAAAATGGATTGTTTCTGATAATGTATGTTATAATTTTATAAATGAGGTTATAAAACTATCTTACACTTACAAAGGCCTTTGTTGTTTACATCATACTTTCCCATAGATCACTGTGGTTTTAGCTTGTATTACATGCTTATTCTGTGTCTGACACTGTGCCAAACATTTTCACACTTACGGTTTAATTTAATTGCTCAACTCTGTGAAGCAGGTCATATGGCTGACATTTTACAGAGACTGAAACTGGCTGAAGGAGAGTATGTGTCCGAGGTCACAATTCTTCCAGGCTGCAGAGCTGGGGCTTCTTGTGCCTAGGGCCTAGTCCCCTCTCCAAGACACTGGGTTGGCCAGGTCCTGTGCTCTGGATTTCCATTCCCTGTTTGTGCATGGTCAAGTGAGAGTGGAGGTGGGTTGGTTTTTGTTTGGTTGGTTGGTTTTTATGAGATGAGGTCTTGCTGTGTTGGCCAGGCTGGTTTCAAGTCCGGGGCTCAAGTGATCCTCCTGCCTCAGCCTCTTGAGTAGTTGGGACTACAGGCAGGTGCCACTATGGTCGACTTGTTTTTTAAATAAGAACTTCATTGAGATACAAGTCCCACACGGTACAATTCACCCATTTAAAATGTACAATTCAATGATTTTTGGTATATTCACAGAGTTGTGCTACCATCACCACAATCAATTTTTAAATGTTTTCATCGATCCAAAAAGAAACTCATTACATTAGCAATTCCTTCTCATTTCCCCCAACCCCTTCTCCTCTGTCAACCCTCAACTGTAGGCAACTCCTAATCAACTTTCTATCTGTATGAATTTTTTTTTTTGGTGGGATTTTTGTTTTTTGTTTTGTTTTGAGACAAGGTCTTGCTCTGTTACCTAGGCTGGCGTGCAGTTGCATGATCATGGCTCACTGCAGCCTTGAACTCCTGAGCTCAAGCATTCCTCCTACCTCAGCTTCCAGAGTAGCTGGGACTACAGGCGTACACCACCATGCCCGGCTAATATTTTAATTTTTTTTTTTTTTGTAGGGACAGGGGTCTCTCTATCTTGCACAGGCTGGTCTCAACTTCTGGGCTCAAGCAATCCTACCTTGGCTTTCCAAAGTGCTGGGATTACATGAGCCACTGCCCCTGGCTTATGAGTTTGTTTATTGTGGACATTTCATATAAATGGCACTGTATATACCTTTGTGTCTGGCTTCTTTTGCTTAGCATAATATTTTCAAGATTCATCCATGTTGTAGCAAGTATCAGTGCTTCATTTCCTTTTATGGTCAAATAATATTCCCATATATGAATGTGCCATATTTTGTTTATCCATTAGCTGGGTGTGATGGTGCATGCCTGTGGTCCCAACTGCTTGGAGGCTGCACAGGTGGGAAGATTGCTTGAGTCCAGGAGGTCGAGACTGCAGTGAGCTGAGTTCGCATCACTGCACTCCAGTCTGGGCGACAGGGTGAAACCCCGTCTCAAAAAAAATAAAAAATAGAAAAAGAGAAAGATTGTAGAGGCAGTGTGTTGGGGGAGACTTGGAAGTTTCTTGCTGTCCCATAGAGCCCAGGCCAGCGGTCACTGTGCAGTTGGC